GAACGGAGACACTGAATCAACAGCCCCGGCGCAGGCTCGCTTCAGCTGCTTCAAAAACCACAGGGAGAGCCTCAACTCCAGTGTTTATTGGACCTTGCGTCATTCCTTCCATCACTCCCTTTGCCTTCAGCCGTTGGAGAAGGAAGGTTGCGAGAGTGATTTATTGACCCCCCCTCAGCGATGCCCTCTCATCCAGCCTTGGGAGCCGTCCCGGAGCGTACCCATTAACAGTCGTGTGCTGCCTCCGGGCTGTCCCGGTTCACTTCCCACATCTGCAGAGGCACAGCTACACCCGCCATGTCCTCCCACGGCTTCCTTTGCCCTGGACCAAGCCCCGGCACCGTGCCGTAGCACCCGTGGGTTGCGTGGTGGCTGCCTTTGCTGGCAGGGGCTCTGTGCTGCTCCCTCTGCATCCGCCCCAGGTGTCTTTCTTGCTTTCTCAGTAGATGAAGTGCTTTCTAGGACAGGACTGGTTTCATGCTGTGCGGCGTGAGCCCAGCTGTTGGTGAGGCTCATTGTCACCATCAGTGACCTTGGCTTTTACTCGTGTCCTCGAGCATCCTCCTTGGGGTGAATGAGTTCCTTGTGGCTGCAGATGCCGTTGGGGTCCCAGAGGCAACACGCTGCCCGAGAGCCATGGACCGGTACAATAATGGTAATGGTGAGAAAACGCCAGCTCATATGTTCTTATTTCTGCTTTCTCTGTGTATATGCATCACAGTTAGAGGTCATATACCATTTTTCGACATGCATCATTTTTCCACAGGACTCATCGTTCGGTGCAGAGGGCAAACACACAAGCATGTTAAGACTACATGCACTATATAAAGTACAAGAAGAGGGATCAATATGTAAAATAGATTCTTTTTTTATTATTATTTTATTTTATTTCATCTGGAATTATAGGAAAACAGATATTGCCAGGTGCTAGAGAACCACATGCAGCCCTGACCCTGAAAAGCACCCCTTCCCTCTCCTGCGGGTATTTGTTTCCATGTTTGCTCGTGCTGGGAGTAGATCCAGCCACTGTCTCCAGTGGCTCCAACACAACAGTATTTTGTGCTTCAGCATTACCTGCAGAATGTGGTCAGAAAGTGTTACCCAAAATATGTCAGTAGTGAACACCCCCAGGCACCCCCTGAGGTTGTTGCTGAGGTTGAATTGACATTTATTGACCTGTAATTTGGTGAAGGCATCATTACAAATTTGCTTTGGACTCAGTCTTTCTTCCTTTCCTTCCCAAAGCCTCTGTCCGTCGCATCCATGTCAGCACTACTCTATTTTAAGTTTTGCAGTGATGGTTGCTACTTTTCTTCTTGGCTTTGATGCTTGGTTTCCGTATGGGCCTGGGAAAGCTCCGTCGATGCTCAGTCTGTGTCAGGTTCTGCCGTGAGCAGAAAGGAGTCATCATCCCCAAAGTTACTTGGTTCTGCATTCAGACCAGGCAGCCCAGATCTCCCGTCCCATCCTAGACCTGTTCAGGTGTCATCTCCACTCATGAAAAATGTGGGCATCTGATGGGGACAGCAGCCTCAGAGAGATCTCCCAAGAAATCGTCCATAAGGAGATCAGATTCTTTTTTTCCTCCTAGAGACATAAACGCGGAGGGCTTTGTAACAGCCCCTGCACGCTCGCACATGCAGCGCACATGCAGGTGTAGCTCAGACCACGGCATCTCTGCCTCTCTTTTGGAAGATGCTGCAGTAATGCAGAAGGTTTAGTCCTTCTTGTGCTTTGAGGAGTGTCGGTGTTGGCCAGGAGTTGGTTTTCCACTCATTTTCTAGGTCGGGAGTGGGAGATGCCTCTGGGGCCAGTGGGGTCCCAGTGCAGCTCCGGGAGCACCAGCAGCCTGGGAACTGCAGCCCTGCGGTCCGGAGCTGCAGCCCCATTTCCAGCAGGCAGCCTGGGACCGTCCGTGTTTCTTCTGAAGGTGATTTTCAAGTCTTCACTGAACCAAAAACTTTCAGATCCTCCTTCAGATGCTGGGTGCTGTGGGGTGCATCGCATGAGCACGGTAGCGTGCCCGAGGAGGGGCAGTGGGGAAACGCAGCTCTGCCCTGTAACCACTCCCCGATGAGATGCGTTGTCTGTTGCGACCTCATGAGCTGTTCTCAAAATCACTACGGTTTCCAGGAACCGCGTCATCGTGCGGACGAGGGACATTCCCAGCCCCTCCGCACCGGTGACTGCAGTATGCAAATCGGCATGGCCCATCTGCGTGCCCAGCGGTTAAAAAAATTTTAAAAAAAAAAAAAAGTCAAGTGCTTGGGCACTTACTCTAAGAATATAAATGTAGACAGCGTGTCTCAAAGATGAATGACGGTGAAAAAAAGATTTCGTCCCCGCCCAGGGCTGAAGTCTCCATGTGCGTGGAGGGTGTCGGGGCGCTGCCGTCCCGGCGGGTGCTGCCAGCCCATCGGCCTGGGCTTTCTGGGGCTCAAGGTCATCCCTTGGTCCAAGGAGCGAGCACATCTGCAAAAACCGCCATGGCCCAGATGTGGAGATGGGTGGGATGGGTCGAGTTTGCCATGCAGGGTAAAATCTGTCCCCTCACAGCTTAGGCAAAAGTGTTTTGGGGAGAGGAGGTCAGCAGTGAGGTCTTACTCCGGTAATTGAACTCTTACTTTCCCAAATGACAAAATCTCTAGGTGTCTTTTCATTTGCAGCCCCTCCCACCATCAGCAGGTCTCAGGTGGTTAACAGGAACACGTGCCAAGGTCCCACAACGCGAGGTGCAACCTGGGGAACGAGCTTCAAAACATAAAATATTCCCACACCTTCCTCTGGCTCCCTCCTGGGAAAGAGGAGCTCCGGCTCGTCGGCCTCTGCCTCCGACGTGGGTGTTAGCGCTGGGTTTCCTCCTGGTTTTCAGTCTTAATTTACGCCTGGGCTCTTTTTCCTTGTCTGAGCGGCTGCCGAGGCTGACGCCGGGTCTGGGAGGAGGAGAGGGAATGAGTCGGTTCCTCCGAACCAAAGCCATGGGATGGGTGAACACTGCTGCTTTCGCCGTGCCATGTCTCACGTGGCGGACTGGGAGCGCCGAGTGGCGGGCAAGCATCTTCTGCCACAAATTTATGCAAATTCAGACACTCCCGCCTGTTTCTGTGCATTTTCAGGTCGTTTTTTAAGGTTTTATTTGAGGTGTCGGTGCAGCGCTGGCAGGAAGACAGGGATTAGCCACAACTGCATCCATCCCCACGCCGTCCCGAGCAGCATCCCATTCCTGGGTGCTCCCATGGGAAGCAGGACCTGGCAGCAGGCCAGCGCTCGATGGGAGCACGGGTAAGACGTGCCGGTGCCGGATCCCGTGCCTGGTGGCAGTGCGAGGACTGGCTGTGCGGGGTGCTGGCGGTGTCACCGGGCGGCATCGACGCGGCGCCG